ATATGCAGAAACATGATGGAAAAGCCTGATGTGGAGGAAGGCTGTTCACACCATGGTGGCCAGAAAGCAGATAAATAGGCAGGAGCCAAAAGAGAAATACACCCTTTCAGATCATACCCTCAGTGACCTGCCTCCAATCAAACCTCACCTCCCAAGAACACATCCAGATACTGAACCAATTGATATAGCACTGCTATTATCCAGTTGTCTTCCAAAAGCCCAACCTCTGAGCATACAAGTCTTTGGGGGGACAGTCCAGATCCAAATAATAAAGATACAGGCACAGATACACACACACACACACACACACACCCCACAACCAAATAAATACAAAACCCAAAAATCCACTTATGGTGTATTTTAGAAATAGTTCAAGAAAATTTTTGAGGGTCATTTGTACTACAAATGATGTTTTAGTCCCTGTGGAGTTTTGGAATCTGACCCTAGGTGATAGAAACTGTACTCTGTCCCTGTCCTCTGAGAACCCACAGCTTTGGTGTGTAAGGTTTTAGAGAATGTGGTATTTGAGCGAATGCTCAAGATTTTCTCCCTATAGTTTGCTGTTGTCTTTCCCTATTCTCACTTCCTTCCTTCATCTCCTTTCTGCCACCTCGTTTCTGGGACTCTTCCTCCTGGGCTACAGTGCTTATCTGTTCTAGGGGAAGTGAAGCCCACAGCCAGCTAGCCAATTGCTGCCAAGAGCTGCAATCTGCCAAGATTTCATTGGCTCAAACCCAGCTTCCTGTTGTGGGAACTGGTCCTATATCAGTTGGTTAAGTAGAACGTGATACTCAGAGCAGGTCAGTCTTGCCTGCCACTTTGAGCAATTTGATAAGTATTCAGGGGTCACAGACTGGCATGTGCTATTATTTTAAATCTTGCAGCTACTCAATCAGATAAGACTCCTAAGGTGGCAGTCCCCCAAACACTGGAATAATTAATGTACTTAACAAAGGAAGAAAAGTATCATATGAAAGCTTTCATTTGTTTTCTCTTTCTAGCTCCATTTCCAGAGAAAGCAACTCATCTTCTTTGACTAGAAAAAAGCCAGGAGAATTTGTGTAACTCTTTCTATTTATGTATCTACTTTCCCTGAATATATCAGCATAACCATCAGTGTTTTTCTAAAGAACAATTAACTTCACATCTTGATCTGCTACCTACTTCTCAGGGAGCTGTAGATTTTGGTAGCCATGATCGTAAGAATTATTATTTCTGCATATGTGAGGCACCTGTGGATATGTGTGCACACCTGTCAGGAAACATTACCATCTACATGTGCTGCTTCTGTGTGTGTGTGTGTGTGTGTGTGTGTGTGTGTGTGTGCCCAGCTTTGCTTCATTGCTTATTTCCTATCAGAAAAAAGAACTTGGTCTTGGACAAGGCTAATCCTATAACAATTAAAGCACTCCAGATTTATATTGGCTTAAAAAATTATTTCCTATCAGAAAAAAGAATTTGGTCTTGGACAAGGCTAATCCTATAACAATTAAAGCACTCCAGATTTATATTGGCTTAAAAATGTAAAATGTATAAAATTTTTATACCATTCTAAGGGCAAGAGGGTGCCTTTAAATGTAAAATGTATAAAATTTTTATACCATTCTAAGGGCAAGAGGGTGCCTTTAAATATGTCCAAACTTGTATTTCTTGCTCTGCACTCTTGGGGTAGCAGGGTTGCCATACAGCCACAAGTAACCTTCTTTGTTAAGAAGCATAAATACCAGGAATGCACAACCTACTGATTTATGTGAGATCTAGTCTCACACTGGAGAATTCCATTTACATCACTGTTCTCCACATGGTGACATTCATGAACATTATATGAGCACACAGATTTAGTAGGGAGCATTGGATCACATTGGGGGATAATTCCTTTTTCTGATTTTTTTGAGTTCTTTATATATTCTAGATAGTAGATTAGTCAGATTTTCTGTCATTGAGACAAAATGCCCAATACCCGCAACTTAAAGGAGGAGAAGTTTATTGGGCTTAAAATTTCAGTGGCTTAAGTCCATGGTTGACTGGCTGGCTCCAAGACAGAAATGGCACGGAATATGTCTTAGGTACTTTTCTTGTTGCTGAGACAAAATACCCGACACTCCAAGTTTAAGGAGGAAAGGTTTATTTAACAGTGCGGTTGAGGAAAGTGTGACAGCCAGGAAGCAGAGAGGAAAGGGAGGAGCCAGGGACAGCAGCCTTCCAGCTCATGAACCCAGGGATCTTACTCTTCAGACCAGGCCCCACCTCTAAATGTAAGATTTTCAGAGAGCATTTTAGATCTAAATCATAATATCTAGGGTTATAGATCTTCAATGATTATAAATGAATGTAATTTTAATTGTTTTGAGTTTCCTGCATTCTTAAGGTAACATGATTTGAGGTATGCTTGGCAATGACTAGTGTCTTCAATTCTTGCAGGTTGCTTTTTGTTTCCTACCTAGGCTTCCAGGCAAAATGCTTTCCAAGGTTAGAGGATAGAGTTTTTCCTCATCTATTCTCATTAAGGGTTAAGAGTGCAGTTCTTTAAGCTCCACTGCCTTATTCAGAAATTCAAGTCTTTGTGTTTCTTCCAGCACGCAGAGGTAGGCACTTCTGTATGGGCCTAAGGCCCATGTCTAGTCTAAAAACTTTATGGGTTGTCTTTTCACGTCAAATGAAGAATGATTATTCTTCATTTCTGGTACCTGGGGATTTTCCTTGGTTTCTTTTAAGCTTGGAAATGCATTAATTGCTTTTTAGGTATTATATTTCATATGACATTTCTTGTATTTATAATGATACAGTAATCTCTCTTTATCTGCATTCCAAGACATTCAGGAGCAGCCTGGAGCCGGATAGTACTAAACTCTATATTATGTGGATCATGTTTTTCCTATACATACATACCTATAATAAAATTTAATTTATAGATTAGGCACAGTAGAAGTCTAATAACAATAACTAATCATGAAATAGGACATTATGCAAAGCATTGTAATAAAGTCATTTAAACATTATACATTTTTTATTTCTGGAATATTCTATTTAATATTTTCAGATTGCTGTGGACTATGGGGAACTAAAGCCACAAAAAGCGAAACTGGGCATGGCAGGGTAGCTACACTAAGCATGACATATTGTCAGACACAGACCACATTCCCTAATCCCTTTCTCTCTTTTTAAGTCAAGAGAGGAAGACGCAGTGAGACCTAGGCCTTCTCACTTGAAGTTAATAGCATTATTTCATTTTTATCATATTTATGTAACCATTTATGTAAGTGATTTAAGTTTCTATATACACTACTGACACAGACTTTCCTTGCAAAATAACTTACTTAATCAAAATATCAATTTAAAAATATTACATCCATTTACAAGTGGTTATGACACTTGAGTATGATACAATGGACTATGAATAAATTGACTATGACGGCTAGGACAAAAAACCATAAAGGCGATATATTAATACTAATGTTTACAGAATTCTTGAAAGCATCTGATGCCCTTCTGAGGTCATGTCGTCATTTATAAAAAAGTTCTTTCATGCTTTAGCAATCTAAATAAGATGCATATTGTCAGCATGAGACTTGGTTGAGGATGTGGGAAATGTGCTATTCAACTACATAAAATGTTGACCATAGTGTGAGTCAGATACTCCTTTTGAAAAAAATAATAAAATCTGTATAGTCAGAGTGGGCGAGATGATGAAAGGCTAATAACTCCAGTGTCTCACAGCAAAACAGAACAAAAGTCCATTTCTTGTTCATGTATCCAGCAAGCTCTAGGCAAGACTTCTGCTCACCCATAGGCTCCCGGAGCATAGCCAGGAGAACTCTGCAGAGTCATGGAGGCAGGAAGCAGGTGGTGCCTCACGTGCTCGCCTTGAGGCTTCTGCCCAGAAGGGACATCTGCTACTTCTACTGTTTTCTCATTAGCCAAAGCAAGTTATACACCCATGCTAATTTCCAAAGGGCAGGCAAATGCAGTGCTACCATACATTCAAAAGGCCAGCAGCCAGATACAGTTGGTGATGAACACTAATACTACAACGCCAGCCAGCTAAACAGCCATGCGGCACTTCTGACATGGCCTCTAGATGGAGACATGTAGCTAGCTCAGCCATAGTAGAGTCAGACTTGTGCTTACAACTCGCTCAACCTCCGGTTAGCTCCGTTCTGTGTACAGAGGACACAAAAGGAAGTTTTTGCTACAGGTGGATACGCTGAACTTACCTGTCCTAAGAAGCTTCTATTATTGATCATAAAACTCCTGTCCTGCTTCACTGCCATCTCCTCTGTTTGATTTGATCATTTCGTTTCTAAAAATATTTATGATCCTGATGTATGAACGTGGTGGAACAATTCACACAGGACACAGCTCAGGTTTCTCCAGACTTGTTTCTAGGCTATTCTGGCTCAGATTTTCTTGTGTCTCTCGGGTTTCCTTTTCAGTCTCGGTAGCCCCCTGTAATATCCGTGGGTTTGTAAAGTCCAGCCTCCTTCCAGTCACCTTCTGATTACAGCGTTAGGCCTTCCCTTCTCTCAGCACCTGCCACCACCTGCTTTCTAACACCTTCTTTGCAGGGGTTCTGCCTAGTACCGACAAGAAATTTTGAAAGGCAAAGGCGTATTCTGACAGTGATTAATGGCAATATGTTTTTATCATAATAATATGTTATTTTAAGAATTCACCGTGTATTTTGACAATATATTAGGGGTCTCCTGAAATACATTAGTTGTTCTTATTTCTACTTTTGATGTTTTTACTTGGTATGTACTTATTTATGTAGGCAGATAAAAGTGATTTGATTACATACGCAAGTGAAATTGGTGTTCATGGTTTTACTCACAGTAACTGCAGGAACTTTTCTAATTTGGGGCCACTTAGCAATGGACTCAGTCCGCGTATTTGGCTTCTTTCGGGTAAGTTGAAAATTGAATCCTGTAATCTCTTGGTTCCTTTTTCAAAAAACAGAGTCCCACACAACTCTTTACACTCTCTGCTTTGCTTTCTTTCAGACTCCTGTCAGAGGATGTAGGGATGGATGTCCCCTTCGAGGAGGGGATGCTGAGTCCCAGTGCTGCAGACATGAGGCCTGGTGAGAGAAGCACTTGCTCCTTTCCTGTGGGAGTATTCTCATCCACACACTTCCTTTATTCATGAGAGGACTTTTTCCCATGCCTTCAGCCTGTGATTTCAGTGATAAAGTGAAGAGAAAAAAATGTTTAAGGGGAAGATGTTGAGTTCCATTTGGTTAATTTGACAGTCAGTTCAAATATTGATGCTCAGTAACATGGACCACATTTTATCTCCTGGGCTACAGCTTTATCTGCCAAAGTTTTCAGTTCCTCTGACAATTAGTTACTGTACAGTACAATACCAAATTCTAACTGATGCCTGAGCTCCCCAAATTTATGCATCATTTTAAGATTGTTTAAAATTGGAAATGTGATGTTGAGAATGTTTAGTGTTCTAATAACAAAAACCACATTGGGGTGGAAGTGTAGCTCAGTGGTAGAGCGTTTGCTTTGCATGTATGAAGCCCTGGGTTTGGTTCCTAGCACTATAAAACAAAATAAAACACCACAACCTTATATCATTAAGATGTAAACCCAAGGCATACACACACACACACACAAACACACACACACACAAATTAAGTTTTCAGTTGCAACCTATGTAACTTTCATTTTGTGCTAGAGTTACTCTCTTCAGCCATACCAACTTTAAGATCACATCTAGATCCTGAATCATGACATTTTCAGCCAAGCCTAGAATGGGGCGGCCAGAAGAGAGGTAAATGAATTTGTTTTCTGTTCTAGTATTTAAGGCACATTCTTAAAGATACCAGTTATATGACAAGTGTTTTTAGATTACTGTGGTTACTGGTAAGCACTGTGATGTCTCTCTTCAATACTCACAACTTACTTTTGAGCAGTAAAGACACTAAAGCTATGGTTATCCTATATGGTAACAGCTAAATGCACATAATTATATAAATTAATTGAAATTTAAAATAATTTTAAATTCCACTCTTCAATCATATTAGCCTCATTTTAAATTGCTCAGTAGCCATATATAAAGAATTTCCATCATCACCAAAAATTCTTTTGAACATCACTGCCCTGAGAATTCCTGTAACATAGAAACCCAGTGTTTTTCAGATGTCATGGAAACATTTTTCTCAAGTAATACATAAAAACATTACATGGTGCACAGTTTGGATGACATCCTATACAGAAAAGAAAGGTCTTAATGATAAAGGAACAGTGCCAGTTTCCTTAGTCCAGAGTTTGAATTCCAGATTTGAGGGATATCTCAGATGGCCTTCACAATGCTTTATGCTGAGGAAATTGGTCTCTTGTGCTTTTAGGTGAAGACAGGAAACTTATTTTACTATACTCTCGCACAGACAGAACACTTCAATGGCCAAATATGTAGGAGTTTCTCCACATGCACCAAGCAGTTCTCTAGAGAACACCAACCAGGTGTCCTGTTATTCAATCCTGACCCAACTGGAGATAGTGCCAGCTCCCAAGGGTGAAGGGTGCAGTCTTGCAAGACACCAGACACCACCGCAAGTCCCAGGCTGCACCTGTGCTTCTGACCACCCAGCTTTAGGGTTCACACAAACTCCTTCCTTGGGTTTTATAATTTGCTAACACAGCTCACAAAATTCATGGAAACACTACTTACATTTACTTGTTTACTTTAGAAGATATAAAGGACACAGATGAATAGATGATGGGGTACACAGAGCAAACGATGGCCATCTCTAATTTAGAAACTATAAAAGCAAAGGACTTCCTCTGAGAGTCTTAGGAATTTTAATTGAGGAAAACAAATTCAAATCGGTCTGAACGAACGCTTTAAAGAAGTTCGAGTTGTACAGTGTTTTGTTTTTGTTTTAACCAAAGGAGAAGCTGAGAAAAAAGGAAATCTCACAAGTTACATGTAAAGAAAAGGGGTGCAAAAAGTTACCCTAACACTATGCTGCTGTCCTTAAACTGTGCACAATTAACTTATAGGACTGTCTCTAATTGAAAAGTCATTTGCTATTTGTGACAATTGCTGCTATAGCATTCATTAAATGATAATAGTGGTCTTTGAAGACTCGGCCCAGTTAAAAGTTCACATTCCTGTACTCAGTTCATGAGTTCATTTTCTTGAGCAGCAGCCTGGTATAAGTGTAATTCCCAGCTTCCTGATGGCTTCCCAAATCCATTTTCAAATGCTCTTTAAATGTTTTCGTGACTTTCTTCTGGATTTCACATTTCCTCCATGTTGATCATGATTGAGAAGTATCATAATCAGTTGGGTTTTGATTTTATATAGATCTCATCCCTAAGAGCTGGGAAGGCTCATTCCCAGTAAGTCGTGTACCCTTCAAGAGTGAAAGAAGTGGTTGTAGGTAGGTTAAGACCACAATTGAGTAACAACAAAGAGACAGTTGGGGAGCAGGGCTGAGGCAGTAACTTGATACTTTTCATGGGAAGTGGCCTAATAAGATGATTGCATGCTTCTAGTCAATGGTGAGATAATTATTCTGGGAGTAGAAGTAGTTAAATAACGAGTTATACATTGTATTAAAACTCAAATAAAAATTACAAGCAACAATAAGAATACAAAGAAGTAATAATGACAACATCAGTAAGGATTTTAGCCAGCTGAAATTTAACCCAAACTATCTTTTTAATAATTTTCCTAGGATAGGTATAGGGTCATTTAAGAGATCATGGTTTTTTTATGAGATTCATGAAATGGGTGATATTTGATGATTTGTCAGGTATGTAAACACAGCATTCTGTTTCAATAATAGCACAACTGCCCCCTTGGGAAGTTGTTGGGAAGTGTTGATACCAGTGCCATTTATTTTTGTAACCTGCCTTTTCTCATTACACACATTTTGGTACTGTAGTTACCAAGGTAAAATACTTGTCAACTGGCATTTAAGGCTTGATGAGCAAAATTAGCCAATGCTCATTTGTGAGTAATCATCTTTTGGCCCTAAAGTTGAGAAAAACATAGAAAGTAAATGATTGCACCACTGAAATACTGATCGAATCCATCTGCCTTTTAACAATACAAAGGCAGCCAGGCTCATGTGAAAAGAAAACTGAATATGCCTCTGACTCAGCTGAGGGGAAGCCAGGGCCAGAGACTGGTCCCACAGAGCCATTGAGTTCCATTGGGTGCTGCCAGTCAATACTAGGTTGTTATCAATCAATCAATCCCTAGCCGAGAGGCTAGTAAGGTAAATTATAAAGAACAGGACCTGGATAGACACCACCCAAGGCAATGAGTATTATTTAGTTGACCAATTTTACTGTGAATATACTACTTCCAAGAAAAGAAGCCTCCAAATATAAATATCCATAACTATAGGTAAGTCATATATATCCATCCCATAATTGGGGGATAGTTCTTTTTATGAGACAGGAAAAGCCATCTTCGGGTTTTGTTCTACCCTTTTTAATGATGACCTTATAGCACCATCATGTGAAAATATCAAATTGTGCCTGGAATGATCAAGAGTTTGATTTATTGGTCAATAATAACAAATGCCTTAGAACTGAGGACTATGAAGAATTTAGTTTAAGAGATAATTGCATCATCAGGATGCTCATGAGATAAACAACTTGGATTTGAGATCCATAATTTTCTTAGCTTTTTCCTTTGATTTGTTTTTTAGCAGGACTCTGGGACAATTTCTCAACTAAGACAGCTAACTCATGGGCCTTCCTTTCAGTCCAGGTCAGAGAGTGTTGTTTGACCAGAGCACTTACATCTTCCTGAGATCAGCTAAGAAACTAGAATTAAATAAGCTTTGGTTTGTATCCCAGGTATTTATGAACAGCAATAATAATAGCAAGAAGTAATAATGACACCATCAATAAGGATTTTAGCCAGCTAAAATGTAACCTAAACTATCTTTTTAATAATTTTCCTAGGTTAGGTAGAGGCTGGCCAGTGAATTTGTCTTTGAATTTGTCTCCTTAGGAGAAGCAATAGTGAACTTGTTATAATATTTAATAACCTCAAATTGCAAGTAAAAGTATGCTTCCCATTCAAATTGTTTAGTTGCATAATTTTTTTCTAATTGAGCACACAAGTGAACTAATTTTTTTTCTATTCTTTTTTTAGTACCAGGGATCGAACTCGGATCTCTGTGCTTGCAAGGCAGGCAGCGGAATCACTGAGCTAAATCCCTGACCCACAAGTAAACTAATTTTGAAATATCAAAAGAGCCCCAAAAGGCTAACATAATTTAAATCATATGAATACTTTCAGCCCATCAAGGCAGGAAGGTATAAGAAGACCCATAGATTTTAGCCTTCAAAGAAGTCAGAGCTCTGGATGATGGTTGTCCACCAGTAGTGTTCTTAAGGAAGGAATTTCCCATAAATATTAACTCAGGACAAAAGTTGCCTGTCTTACAACCTGAGTGACCAGCAGGATGAAGGATTGCCCTGTTAGACTTCTAGATAAGGGACTTTGTTCCTAAGAAGCTGACAACAGCAGACACCAAAGATATTTTTGAAATATTGAGCAAAGAGTTGGGAAGTTTGGAGACTTGAGAAAATTTACTCTCACGATCTGAAGCCACCAGAGAATCAGTGGAGAACTTAAAGAGTCATGGAAGCACCTGTGCTCCTGTCCTTAGAAGCATCAGAGGTAGAGACAAGTCACTTCAGGTCCCACTTCTGCTACCATCTAATGTCAGTCAGCTCAAACCCAGGGACTGTGGGAGCAAAAGAACTTGATCTGGGGCTTGGGAATTACAGTTTCTAAAAGCACAACTTCATATAGCCCTGAAAGAGTGCTCCAAAGAAGGTGCAGGTGTTCTAAAGGGAAGGAGAAGTAGGGGAGAAAGCAAGTTACATGCAAAGGAAAATGACTGGCGCGGAAGCAGTCTAACAACACTAGGCTACACATCACTGTGTTATGCATGACTCATTTCTAGGACTATCTCAAGGTGGAAAGTGCATTTGTCATGTGTGGTGGTTGCAGCTACAACATTCGTTTAACAATGTTAGTGGCTTTTGCAGATTTGGCTCAGTTCAAACAGTCACATTCCTATGCCCAGTTCAAGATTTCATTTTCCTAGCAGCATCTTGATAGATGCACAAGTCCTGGTCCCCTAGTGGCCTCTCAACTCCAATTTGAAGTGCTCTTAAAAGGTTGCTTTTTGTCATGATTTTCTTCTTCTGATTTTCCACAAGGTATAGAGGAAGTGGCATGGAGTTTCAGTGCCCTCTCCAGATGTTCCACCCTCCAAGCACCTTAATGCATTTACCAGTGCAAAAGATCATCAACCTTGTTGTTCAAGAGTCTCCATACAGGGGATTTAGCTCAGTGGTGCCTCCGCCTGCCACTCAAGTGCAAGGTCCTGAATTCGATCTCCGGTACCAAAACAAACAAACAAAAAGTCTTCATACGGCCTCAGCTCCAGCATATCACCTCCTTCCCAGAAGTCACTGGGTGGAGATAAATTCCTATTTTCTAATCAGTAGGTCTTTTTGGTGATCAGTCCTGTCCCAAGGTGATGTAGGGGCCCCTCTCCAAGATACCTCTCTGGCATAAACTCAGTTATGATAAAAAAGAACTTTCTATAAATAGCAAAAGACACTCCTATCTCTCAGGAAATTCTGAGCATTTGAGGAGCTCTGCCTAGAACCAGAGGTAAAGAACAAATATTTTTCTGATTATATCACATTAGGCTATTTCTCTTTGTTTGGTTGGGGTGAACTTTTTAAAAATGACTTCTCAAGCACAGCCTCTATTAAATGAAAGGCACTCGAGCAGAAAAGATATATTTTACAGTGAAAGGATGCTAGCTACCTCGGAGCCTTAACATAAGATTATCACAAGTTATGGGAACTGATGTCAAGCAACACTGGTGTAATAGGTAGTGACTGCTTAGGTAGGTTCAAAGAATGTAAGCAGGGAGGGTACCCCAGGTTTTATTTAAAAACCAAGACAAGAAAGGTCACGAAAGTTCATATTTAAGGAGCTCGAAAGTATTTTGGGAGTGTCTGTCAACAAAATAGCGTTATTTACTGCCATTCTTATGAGCAAAATTAAGAAGAATTCGAAATAAGTACTTAACTGTTTTTGTCATGAAATACACTTCATAAAAATCCAATTCAATATCATAGCAGTATCAAGTTCTTAAAGATGAACAGAGTAGTTAAAAAACATCTAGTTTTCTGCATCTGTATCTGTAATAGCTCCCACTTCCTGCTTTTACATGGTCAGGGTTGATTGGGGTAGGGGAACCAGTAGTGAGGCAATCTAACGCTGAATGTTGCTATTGCTTTTCTTCTTTAGAACCTCCTAATTCACTGGATCTTAATGGCACCCATCCTCGGAGAATCAAGCTTACAGCCCCAAATATCAATCTTTCTCTGGACCAAAGTGAAGGATCTATTCTCTCCGATGACAACCTGGACAGCCCAGATGAGATTGATATTAACGTGGATGAACTTGATACTCCTGACGAGGCAGATTCCTTTGAGTATACAGGCCATGGTAAGTCACTAAGATGACAAAGCCAGAGTTCAATAAATAAAAGATTATCTAAGTGGCATTAGGAACAAATTCTTCATTTTGGTACTAGTGGCTCCTCTGTGTGGTTCCTGGAAGGTTCCGTTTGTGTCTCGGTCATAGGTGGCCAAGACTGACAGTTTATAGAGCGTTACAGAGCAGGTATGGTTCATGGAAGTCACGTTGGACCACTGCTCTGCTGTAAATCCCTAGGCTGCTATCCGTTTTGTTGTTAGGAAACTGGAGCTGTGTTTGCAGAGAAATTAATCTGGAAGATGAAATTGAAAGAGGTGGAGTCAGGGCTTCCTGATGTCTTAGTACAAACTTTCACTGTCTGGAATGTTCATTCCGCAAGACCCATACACGCCCAGATCCTCTGTTCAGACCTTGATCAGATATCACCTTCTTGGATGGCCTTCCTTGGTCTCTGTAGTCAAAAATGCTTTTCACCTCCCTGCTTTCCCTAACGCTATCCAAACTCAAGCCAACTATTCATTTTATTTTCTACGTGTCATTCATTAAAAGTGTATTATTTAACTATTTGTTTGCATGTTTATCATCTCTTTTCCACTAAATGTATGTTCTACCCGGGTGGAGGTTTTATATCTCCATAAAGTAGGAAGGAAGCAAGGATGGAGTGTGGGGGGCAGAGGAAAGACAAAACGAAGAAAATCAAAAATTGCCACATTAAAGAATGATGTTCTTAATATGATATCAGTCTCACCTTAGTTCTTTCCTGGGCTCAATGAAGTTTGATTTGTTAAGATTTACATACAAAAGCCAGGGATTTAGCTCAGTGGCACCACGCCTGCCTTGCAAGTGCAAGGTCCTACATTCTATCCCCAATACAGAAAAAAAATTTTTATATCCAAATATAAAATATTTACTTATAAAAGGCAGAATTATGTAGTTTCCATTTCATGTCTAGCCAGGGTGGCACTCGGAAGTTATATTTGCATGTCACAATGAGAGGAGTGGCTAGGCCACAACTATTGTTTTTCTCAATTATGAAAGTTTTTTTAGTTTTAAAAGGCAGTACCCTAATTAAGTGGTGCTCTGACTTTTACAGTCTTGCTAATTCTAGGTATTCCACTCATACAGGAACATAATTAAGAAATTCATTAAATTAGCTAATTAATTCAGCCCATGGTCATTGAGCCATCAGAGCTAGAAGCAGGATCAGTACAAAGTTAGACCCTATCTTCACAAACTTAAGGCTTTATTTACTCAAGTTTAAAAAAAATAGAAGGTAACTACTTGTTCTAAAGTTTGCTATGTTTAGATAGAAGTTTTATATTGCATTTTTATCATGTTCTTGAATTTCTATAGTTTCCCCTTAGTATCTGTGGCAGATTGGTTTCAGGACCCCAAACAGATACCAAAATTTAGCCATACTCACACTCAACCACACTCAGGCTGTAGTATTTGTCTGGAACCTACTCATATATTTTAACTCACCTCTAGATTCCTTATAATGACTAATAAAATACAAATGCTGTACAAATAGTTGTTGTATAGAGAATAATGATCAAGAAAAAAATCAGCATGTTCTGTACACAGGCATTTTTTCCCCCTGAATATTTTCTGTCTGCATTCGGTTGATTTTGCAGTTGTGGAACAAAAGGATATGGAGAGCTGACAACAAGTATCTGGACACTTGATCTTGTAGGGTGACACACACAAACACGAAGGGAAAGAAGGTATTGAATTCGTATTTCTTCCGGCCACCTCAGCATCTTCACCAGCTACTCCGTCTGTGCTGGCTCTACCCAGTGGTCCAGCTCTTTTCCTGCTAATATATTTGACTTAAAATCCCACAGAAGACAGCTGTGGCATGACCCTGTCGGTCCCTCCCTCTCCTTCCTTTACCTCCCTGTTGCCCTGGAGAGCTTCGTCACACCCACATCTGAATCTTCTGTTTTTATTAACAGTAAAACTGTCAAGCAGATTGGTGGTGGCTGAGCGAGCTGATAGTTAAAGCTGCCACTTGCTGATGTAGTTCTTTTTATTTAGTTGACTTGTTATGTTGAAAGAGCCGGGTTAATGGCCACAATTCTCCTTCCAGGCATTAAACTCGAAAAACAGAATTTTAACATAAGCAGTATTCTAAAATTCTCCTTAATTTTCAAACAAAAAAGTGTAGCCCTTTGCAAAATATACAGACAACTGACTGCATTAAAAGGATGGAACAGAAATACATTTTAGTTCTAAGGTGTCAAATAAGTGCTTGAAAAGGCCTGTGGTATTTACAGTATGCCAAAGAGATCAGAAATGTGTAAGTAAACAAGGACTTAGGATGTCAGATTTTCATTTTAAGCGCAAGCTTATTTTTTTTTAATGCCATTTTATACCAGTCTTTAAAACTCAATATCCAAAGGTCATGGGGAAACGATGAACTATCTCTATTTTCCAAAACAACCACAAAGTAATTTTTGCCATAATGAAGATCTCACCAAAAGCATTTCATATGGGAAGTGGAAAAATGATAAAGAAATTTTGCCTGCATATTTCTGATAAAAATGGTATAGGAAACACTCATGTGTTCTTATACTTTGTTTTCCCCCAGGCTCCAACGTGATGTTTAGTGACCTTATCTAAGCTTTCTTTTCTAAAACTAAGCCCTAATGACAGTTTTATAGGTTAATAAGTTATCCCAAAATTATTTCCAGGTAATCAAGGCACCACTTCATTTAATGTCCCTATCTGTGGTTTTCTATATTTGCATATTCTATAGGCAACCCGCTTATAAAAATTAACTCCTTGTTCTAACCCTATGTGCAAACTAACCAGTTCTTAAGTTTACTGTGTTTTACCCACAAGCAGCCTATGTCATAATACTGTTGTCTGAAAGGATGATTTTCTTTGTATTTTTGTGTACTGAGATTACACTCTTTTTTTTGGTACTGGGGATTGAACTCAGGACCTTGCACTTTTGAGGCAGGCAGCAGAACCACTGAGCTAAATTCCCAGCCCTCTGAGATTATACATTCAAATTTGTGTCCTGTCTGCTATTTGTCACCAAGATAATTTTAAAGACTTTTTTAAAGTCAGCTTTTTCTGACCCAATATCTGACATCCACAACTTAAAAAAAAAAAAAGAGGATTAACTGGGCTCATAGTTTCAAAGGAGTTAGTCCCTGGTTAGCTGACTCCAAGGCAGAAACATCATGGTGGAAGGGTATGGTGAGGCAAAGCTACTCAGTTCACAGCAGTTAGGAAGCAAAACAAAGGAATAAAGCCAGAAAAGAAGGGGCTAGGGAACACATAATGCATAGTGGTCAAGATCATGCCTCCATGACCTACCCAGTAGCACTCAGAAGTGTGCTTGACTAATCTGATAGGCCTTTATATCCTCCCTCCTCCCCTTCTTCCTCCTTTTCTTCCTTTCAGTACTCAGACTGAACCCAAGCCCATTTTATATTCTTTATTTGAGATAGGACCCCACTAAGTTGCCTGGTATGGGCTCAAACTTGCAGTCTCCTGCCTCAGCCTCCTAGAGTACTGGGATTATAGGGGCGTGCACAACTATATGTGGCTTAGTAGATATTTCTTAGTTCAATCAAGTTGACATATCATGATTAATTGTCACACAGGACATTTTTCTCATAACAAAAACATCTTCAAACATAGTATCTTTTAAGAATATTCATTATCTTTGTTAGAGCATAATATATAGAAATGTAGTCACCTTTCACAAATGTGGGACCCTACTGGAAGCCACAGCTAATCTCATCTCTAGTTAGTCTATGATGAACATCAAGAGTAGATTCCCCATTGTGATCTGAGTAGCACAAACAACACCTCATAAAAAAACCCAGCCCCAAGCCTTTTCACAAAAATGAATAATAATGTTGTATTTAAGAAGAAATAGTAAGAAAATGTGTGTGTGTGTGTGTGTATATGTATACACATGCTTTTAAGATAGAGGTGTCCTTTCCCATTATATTACAATTTTAGAAGAGAAAAAAATTAAATGTCAGCTATACAAAATTTTAAATTTTCTGTTGGACAAAAATATACAAGAATATATAGATTTAAAAGCTAAGCACAAAGCAGAAAAGAAATTGCAACACCTGACTAAGTTCTATATAAAGAACTTCAACAGATCAATAAAGACCACCATAGGCAAAACAGTTAGCGGGTATCTCCATATTAGTAAGAGAAATATAAGTAGCTCATAAACATTTAAATTCTTCCTTATTAGTTAGAGAAATTCAAATTGAAACAACAATGAGATTACTTCCATCATGGATTGTCAAAGGGCAAAAACTTTGATAGCCTGCACTTTTGTAAGAAGGGGAGAAGACAGACACTCATATATTTTGGTGTGACATGTTCAAGGAAAAAACTGTCCATAAAAATACGTTGCCTATGGATCCAGCTTTCTTTTGCTAAAAAGTTGTGTTATAGTAATACGTGCACAAATGAAGTAAGATGCCTGTGTCAAGATACTTGCTGGAGCAAATACTCTATAAGAAGCAATAACAATATAGAATAAAACTAAATTTCCATCATCATGAACTTGATTCTTTTAAGGTCTGCCTAGCTTTGTCCTTTCCATGGGGTCATGCAATGGAGCCATACAGGAAGTAGACTTTTCAAATGGCTTCTTGTATTTAGGCATTTAAGTTTCCCCCATATCTCTTCATGTCTTGCAAACTTATTTTTCTAAGCATTTAACAGTATTCCATCGTATGGATGTATTACATTTTATTTTTCCCTTAACTTGCTGAAGGACATCTTGGTTGCTTCAAAGTTTTGGCAGTTACAAATAAAGCTTCTATAAACACTTATGTATAAGTTTTTATGCAGATACACATTTTCAAGTCATTTGAGCCTTTGCCAAGGAATATGAGTGTTGAGTTGCATGAGAAAAGTATGCTTAATTTTGTAAGAATCTGTCAGACTCTTCCAGAGTCACAGTGTCCTACATTCCCATCAGCAATGAATGAGAATTCCTATTGCTCCATATCAGTGCCATATTTGATGCCATCACAACTTTGGAATATGGCTCTTTAATAGATATGTAGTAGTATCATTATTTGCAAATTTAATTTCACACTGACCTACTGACATGGGCTGTTGAATGTTTTCTTATGTTCTTACTTGCTATCTGTACATCTTTTAGGATGAGGTGTCTATTTGTGTCTTTTCTGTATTTTTTATTCAAGTTATTTACTTTCTTCTTTGTACTTTTGGATAATAGTCCTTTATCAGATGTGTATTTTGTAAATATTTTCTCCCAGTCTGTCTGTGGCTTGGTTTCTTATTTCCTTGACATTGTCTGTCACAGAACATAGGTTTTGTTTTGGTTTTTGATTTTTGTTTTTTTTTAATCAGGGTCTCACTCTGTAGTTCAGGCCAGCCTTGAACTCATTATGTAGCCCAGGTTGACCTTGAATTCATGGCAATTTTCCTGCCTCAGTCTTCTGAGTGCTAGGATTACAGATGTGTACCACCATGCCCAACCTAAAGCACAGGTATTTAATTTTAGTAAGGTCAGTTTTTGTGCAGACTAAAGTCTGGATCTAGATTCGGTTTTTGTATATAGATATCCAGTTGTTTAGTAACATTTGTTGTAAAGACTTATCTTTGTTCCACAGTACTGCCCTGGCTTCTTTGTTGAAGATCAGTTGATTGTATCTGTGTGATATGCATTTTACTTTTATAACCAGAATAAAAATTGTGATATATAGAAAAAGTTTTAATAAGGCTACTTCAATAAAAACATGTAGAAAACAAAACAACCCTAATTTTACCTGCCTCACATACACTCCAAGATCACCAGGGTCAAGTTAAGCAGGCCAGGGAGAACCAAAGCCAATACACAGGGTTTGCTGAATCAGGAGTTAACTGCAGACAAGGGTGTGTGTGTGTGTGTGTGTGTGTGTGTGTGTGTGTGTGTGTGTACAGCACCATCAGAAGACAACAGAGCTCAGAGTGTCAAGGCAGTAGAGACAAGATGGGAAACAGCATCCCAGAAAGGGAGCTTGGATTGGCAACAGAAGTTCCTAAGCCAAGTAGAAAGGAAGAAACAGGAAGAGATTCCAGACAGATGAACAAGCTTGTCCAAATTAAACAGTGCTTGGTTGGAAGCTGAAGGTTGCTGCTTTTTGTCCCTAGTAAGCTGCCAACTTGGGAACACAGTGAAGCCGAAGTGAATGAACATGGGTTCTTTCTTTTTTGAATTGTGAACGAGTAAATTTCTTACCAAAGAATGCTCAGTGGGGTTGCTGTTGTTGCCTTATGCACCAGCAAATTTAAGAGTCTTGTGCATTTGGGGCCTTGGACTATTTCTGTTCTATAAACTTATATTGTTTCTTGCTTACTATATTGTAGCACATTCTGAAATACAATGCATGGGAAGTAATATTAAATGTATATTCAGAAGTGCCCCCTGTTGGTCAGGGGGCTTCAGCTCTGTTGTATGAGTCTTAGAGCAGGGGTCTTGCCAAAAGGTGTCTTGTCATCAAGACACCAAGCTAAAGGTCTTCAAACACTGAGTAATCAGCACATGTGGCTTAAGGAAAACAACATTATCTGGGCTTGATAAGCAAATAACCTTTTACCCAATCAGAACTATCTTGGTCTTTATGAAATACCTATGGCCTTTAACATGCATGATTAAGAATGGGTTGGTTCCATTTCTTCTCACACTGGGCCACTACTCATACAAGACAGATCTAGATTTAGCTTTCTCCACCCTCAGAATGGCCTTACCAATTCAATCAATTAGTGCAGAAGATGACTGAAGGAACTTTTAAGTGGTCAGGATGGTGTTAAACTCTATAAAGCCTGTGCATAGCAGGGAGTTTCGTCCTGGTGGTTCTGCCAGGAAGGAGCTTCTGATTAGGCCATTTTGCAGCCTCTATTGTGAAGGCCATGTTTCTTCAGCCCTGCTTTCTTTTATTTCCAGAAGATTCTATGGCCAACAAAGATTCTGGCCAAGAGTCAGAGTCTATTCCAGAATATACAGCTGAAGAAGAGCGTGAAGACAACCGGCTGTGGAGGACAGTGGTGATCGGAGAACAAGAGCAACGGATTGACATGAAGGTCATCGAGCCCTACAGGAGAGTCATTTCTCACGGAGGTAGTCAGGCTCTGAGAATCTGGGAAATGGGGTGGGGCCAGGCATAGCTTTATGAAAAGGCGAAAGATTTATATGATCTGAAGAGAAACCAGAGTATTGGGGCATTGTTTTAAATTGGAAAGCAGAGGCAAGGTTCTCTGAGGTAGGACATCCTCATACTGCATCTATTCTGCAGTCTGTGTTCAGGGGACTGAGAGCTAATGACATTACCTTATACCCTCTAGTCATTAAAAATTTGAAAGCTTACTAGGCAAAAACAATTTTCCTATGTGAAAAAAGGGCTTTTCTGATATTAAAATTTTTGTGCAAATTTCTCAAAAGTTATAGCCATCCAATGTGATGATGCCTATTCAGAATTCCTGTCAGTGGGTTGTGGGGTTGAACTAAACAGTTTAGAGTACACAACACTATGGCCTCTAGTAAAGCCACACTTTAGAGGGGCTTTTGATCACAAAATGTCTTTTGAGTCCTCGTCAGACGCTTTAGGAACCTTTTTAGATTTAGCCTGATCACTTCTTCCCTACCTACTTTTATCTAGGGCTCACAATGACCGATCCTGGCCAAACTCTCCACTTTCATAGTGAAAGACCAGGAAAGGGAAAAGTATATTTTGTATCTCCAGTGCCTGGGGTCTCCAGGAGCATGGGTGGCCTTCACTAATACGGAACTCACCAAAAGTCAGGCGAGCTCTAACAACACATTGAATATTGTCGACTTCAGAAAACATCAGTGGCTTTTTTATTATTCTTCTGCATGTGTTCCTTTGCTGCCATTCCCCGATGCCACTCTTACCACCCAGCTATCCCAGAAAAAGTGCAAGCTGACAAGGCAATTGTTTCTCTCCACATTCTCTCTTCCAGAATGAGGACAAGGAAATAGGAGTCTTGCTGATGCATTAAATCCACAGTGCTTGTTTTCTAAGGAGCCAGAGACATTATTATTTCAATCACACATCCCTCCACCAATAGATTCTCCACTTTCTATCCCTTGCATTGCTCCTTCCAAGAAGTACCGGGATTACCCAAACATGGCAGTGAAGGAAGCCGCCAGCAAGAATCTTTGGTCATGATCTCTTTCTCTTCTCTCACTATGCAACTGAAAATAGCAACATGACCCCTTGATAGCTCCTCTCAGGGCTGGGGCCATTCCCTTGAAAAGAAATCTTTTTCACAGTCCTTCAGAACCAAGGCTGGCCTGATCTTGCTGAGAGGGACAGAGAGCTGACCCGTGAGTCAACGCTTTTGTTCTTAGGATGAAAACCACAGCTGGAACACTGTCCATACCTTCCCGGGGGTTACTGCTTTGCACTGCCCCCCAGGTACTTTTGGTTTGTTTGCATTGGGGAAATCGAAACAAAACAAAGGCTAACTTTGAAAGTAGTCTGTTCTTACACTAAAAAGTACGGAAAATGGAGAAGTCTGTCAAAGTAAATCAAAGTCACCCCGTGACAATCTTCATACACATTATTATGTCTCAGATCTTAGGACTTCTCATGTTATAAGGGAGGCAGGTGCGGAGTTTCGCTGCTATCACAAGGGTGAGTCATCTCAATACTTCAGTGGACTCACCTACTTGTTTTTCACCGGCAAGAAACTCCAGTACCCCGGTTGGCAGATCATCCGTCCACTGCAGGGCAGGAAAAGTCACTGTGGCTGCCGGTGCCAGACTTTGTAGAAATCCACCTGAGAACTCTGTGCTGACGTGATTTACTGAGCTCTGCATCCCTGCCCTTGGCATTTGCTCCTTTCCATCGTGTGTTGTGCGAGCTTGGTTCTTTGTCTGAGTGACTGTCTGGTTTGTTTTGAAGAGACCTCCTCCCCGCTCCAAGGCTGCCCCTCAGCCTTCTCCGGGCACTGGGCTGCATGAATGTGCCTCTGGCTGCACCCTCCTGGCACACTGGCCACCTTTCCTCCACGCTGAACAGCTTCTGTGCTCTGTAGGTGAAGACCGGATGTTACTTCTGAATTTGCCAAACGCTTTGTCTTCCTTATTGGAAACTTATGCCACTCTCTTAGATCTTATGGTGCTAAAGTGTCCTAGTGATGATCAACCTACTGACTTGGCTGCCCTGGCTTCTGATGAGCATTTACAGAACAGACTCCGTGAGGAAATTTTCCCAGTCAGGCCATGGGAAGTGCCAGCTAAACAATACTCTGTGCAGTCAACTGCACAGGATCCAAAGAGTTGAGAGAAGTTGTCCCAAAGACAGGTGCTGCCAACTGTTCCCAGCGGTGTTTAAACAAATAATACTAAAGTCGTCAACTTGGTATGAGCTGACAGGGGCCCTGCCCACACTGTAGAAAAATGAATTCAAGGCCTGTCTTTGTCACTTGCAAGCCTCTGAACTTAGCACTTCGCTTACCTTCTCAGGGCCTCAATGACTTTATTAGTCAAATGGGTGCGATAGATCGCACTGGTGTTTATATCCCATAATCCCTGGAGCAATATCCCTACCATCTGCTTAACTAAAGAAAAAAAAAAAAGCCCAAAAGCATTATGGGTAGTTTTGCTCGGCCAATGGCATGGGGTCATGTGGAGGCCAGAACTGGTTTCTTTCAACTTGAAACAGAACACATTTAAATAACAAAAGATAATCACGCCAAGGAATGTTAATAAGGAGTTTCCCTTCTTTTTTCTTTCTTTCTTTTTACTTCCTTTATTTCATTCTAGGAGACTCAGGTAACCTTGACCTCAGCGTTGCTGGACAAATGCTCCTGGAGAGAATGAGCAGAAGAGCTGCTGGCTGGTGTGTGTGTGTGTTTATGTTTTGGTTGCGACTGTGACATCTTTCCTCCTCTCTCCATTCCATTTGCTGGCCAGCAAGCTTGTGTTACATCCCTTTCATGCTTCTCTGTGCCACCCAGGTAAGGTTTGCCATGGCTGCTCTGAGGGTCCCAGGAGGCGCCACGACAGGCTCGTGCATGTGTCCTGGCATAGGACCCTGTGTTCACCTCACGTTCACTGACTGTCTGACAAAGTGCATGGTCTAAAAACCAAGTCCATGTGAATTATGCTGATGCCAGCAGGCAGCTTTACCTGAATTAGCTGTGTATTTCAGGACAGAAATTGAAGGCTTAGCTCACCCGAGAGAGCATCACGGTGGGGCTGAGGGGCAAAAAGCCTACAGTCCTGCTCATTCTAAGTGTTGCATTTTGCCAGCAGTCATTATCTGAAGTATCTCCAAAGCCTATGAAAAATAATATCAACTCTTGATTTAGGAGGACCACTTTCACCATGAAATCTCTTTTTTTTTTTTTTTCCTATTTCCTGTCATAAATCTTCTCCTCTCCTCCTATTTTCTTCTTTTCCCTGTGGCCTTTTTTTTTCCTTCTTACAGCAACTCTACCCAGAAGTACAGAGCCATTTTTCATTTCTAAATTCCAGCTGTTTTGATCTAAAGAGATATTTCTTGGCTTAGATAAGTCAGTCCCTCTGTATTCCTTTGGCTAAATGAATTCTAGTGAGCAGGATGCTGCAGCATTCTAAGTACTGAGAGCACGGGTGAACTGCCTTTGAAGATGACTTCTGAAGTACTGTTCAGGAACCTATCTTCCCTTTATTTAAAAAAAGTCTCTTAGGAATCCTGTGGAAATAGAAAAAGAAATCAAAGTACTGAGCAGTCATGAACTTGCAATTATTCCGACGCCCAGGAGCCAGGCAACTACATTTACAAAGATGTATTCTTACTTGCTTTTTTTTTTTCTTTTGGTTTTTGGAGACAGGGTCTCACTATGTAGTTGAGACTGACCTGGAACTCACTATGTAGCCCAGGCTGGTCTCGAACTCACAGCAATCCTCCTGCCTCAGCCTCCTGAGTGCTAGGATTACAGGCATGAGCCACCACGCCAGGCTCTATTCTTGTTTTAAATTAGACATATTGTGCCTATTGTCTATTTGCATGACGTCTTAGCTTTCCACTGTGCTGAGTCTGAACCGTATATGTTCATGGTGTTAGCAAGCCACAATACCATTTGTGGATTTCCACTTACTTATGAATCCTCAGAAATGAAATTTGCTGATGGAACAAGGACTTGTATTCCTTCCGCCCTTTTCTTCATATATGCATTCTAAAAAGGAAATGATGAATACCTAACAAGTGGAAAATATGGAACAAAATTTTAAACCCCAGAAGAAAGCTACTGTTATGCCCTCTCACAAACAGGTGTTGGGCTGGGTATATATTTACATAAGTAGTATTTTCTAAGATAAGTGGTACGGATACAGTGCACAACGCCCTCAAATTAGTAATACAACCCACGGCTGGATATATTTTTACTTACTTCACTCTTCCCCCACCTTGTTTGTGGTAGAGTCATACTCTGTTTTTGTAGAGAGCATCTTATTAAACTGCTTTTCAAGAGCTGATTCCATCCAAATCTACGCCCAGCCAGTGTTTTACTGCCATGTAATCACAAGGGGGATATTTAGAGTTCTGAAAAAAGGAAATGTGCCAGTTCTGGGAGGACTGGATCAGGCATAAGGACATGTGCTGTCCTCCTACTCAAAGCGTGGAAGGGATCTCTACTTAATCACTGTGAAGGCCAGAACTGTGTGATACAAACTACAACTATTTAAATGGGGATATTAAAAAATGATAGGGGCTGGTGGTGTTGCTCAGTGGTAAAGCAGGTGGGTGAGGCCCGGAGTTACATCGCCAGCACCCTCCCCCAAAATGACAAGATAGAGCATTGCTTCCCTTTTGAAGTGCTAAAGGTCCATTTCATTCCAGCCGCCTACCTATGAGCATTTGAAAAATATCTGCCATGAATTTCAAAGATGAGCTGTAAGGGAACATCAGGCTTGTTTAAAAGATTGGGCAGGGCCGGAATTATGTCAATGGTTTATAATACTTTCTCATAATATTTTCTCATCTATTTCTAAAAGGTGAGAATAATGTCCTGAGATTCATCTGCATATTCCTTGACCCTTGGAGTCTTGATACCCACATATATTTTCATTTCCCGCATCTTACTTTCTCAGTGTCACCTACAGACAGTACCTCACATCTTAAAAAGGCTCACATCTTATTAGAAAGTAATTCTCAAGTTTTTCCCAAAGCACATGTTTTCCACACAATTCAAAGAGAATTTAGCCGGGCCCATCTTGAGTATTCCTCGTTAAGAGGCAAAGCTTTGAATTCGGTGGGCAGTTACTGTAGGCCTGGCCAGAGCTCCCCACGTATCCTTGTATGGTCTGTGTGTGAGGTCCAGAGATCCAAGGACATTACAGGTGAGTGACCAGACCTCAAAATCAGAAGGAAGCTATTTAGCCACCGGTTCCCTAGTACCTGATCACTGGAGAATGTGTGGTTTTGCAATAATTATATCGCAGTTTAGTGACTAAGTTCACACTTCAGGTTAACTGGGCTGTAAAACCAAAAGGAGCTACAGAGTATTAAACAGAATCTCTTTCCCAGCTCTCAGAATGAAGTATTTTATGAAATTGCTTTGAAAATAATTTACTGTTGTATAAGTCAAAAACTGTTACCTAGGAGGGGGATGGTGCTTACTAGCAGAATACTTGCCTGGCATGCACAAGGCCCTAGGTTCAATCCCCAGCACCGTGAAAATATTTTTTTAAAATTTTGTTGCATTCTTTGATAAGTTGAATATTTATTTATACATGCCATTCATGACTATATGTAGCACATAAAATCATGTACAATACATATATACCCTATATACACAAATATACTCTTACTACATATTTAATACTCTATATAACATGTCAAGCACCAAGAGATACTTATACGTGTATATGCTTACAGAACTATAGCTAATACTTTTCCCATTATCCATCTGTGGTGCACACACACAGACCACACCAGCATTTCTTATTTATCCCTCAGGTTCAACATTACCTTGTTAAGAAATTTTAGGGTTTTACAAATGTCTTTGTGTTTGTCCCTCAGGATACTATGGGGACGGTCTAAATGCCATCATTGTATTTGCCGCTTGTTTTCTGCCAGACAGCAGCCGGGCGGATTACCACTACGTCATGGAAAACCTTTTCCTGTGAGTGCTCCTTCTGACAAAGTGTTTCGAATCAATGTCCCTTGGTGGGTAAGGTCAAAGAGAGGATCTCAATTAAGGGAAGTGGATGATGTAGCCTATTTGAAGCCTTTGATAAAAAGTCAGTAAGATTTCTATCAAGGAACGGTGCTCAAAAGGCTAAGACCTCCAAAGGAACTCTTATCAGTAGTATACAAGAAAAACAAAGTGTGCAGAAGTTGGCTTGCATTTAAGAATTTTGCAACATTTCCTTTGGGCAAAGTACTATTTTTGTTCCGTGATAACATGTTTTTAATCTACTGTTGATAATTTGACTTTGTTTATATCTGCCAGTGTTTAGTATGAGTTACCCTTAATGTTTGAAAACATTGTTAACATTTTTGAAAGTCAGGTTTTGAGCTCACATATTTTCCTAAGGTATCTGTATTACAAATAAAAAAAGATAGACGTACAAATAAATGAGCAATACTCAATCTCAGATAAATTATCTTAGGTAACTGCTTTGTTCTCAAGGTAAAGAGGTACTCTGTACAACTATCCTTAAATGCCATTCACTCTGTAATTTAAATGTTATATAATCGGGGTACAAATGTGATGAAAAATTCCATGTGGAAACTGAAAACACTCCTCTTCCTTCCTGTGATCAGCTATGTAATAAGCACATTAGAGCTTATGGTAGCTGAAGATTATATGATCGTATATTTGAATGGTGCAACCCCAAGACGGAAGATGCCAGGCCTAGGCTGGATGAAGAAATGCTACCAGATGATTGACAGGCGGTATGTCGTCCACTATGTACCCCCTTGTTCGACTCCCTTGATTCTCTCTTCACCTACCAAAACTGCAGTCACATTTAGGAACACTAAACTATGTATATTCGAAGAAACAAATCACAGAAAGTGTTTACTCGATGCTCCAACGTTGAAATAAAGCACATCTTATCCGGATCTTGGTGAATGTAATCTCAAACCTGGCAGACCAACTCCACTTCAAATTTGCATGTGCTGCTGCCACAGAGAGGTGCAACTTAAATGGATAAACCACAATAACCATGATTCTTCTGTGCTACAGGTGGCTGTTCACCTGCACTAGGAATATGGCGATCTGCACAACCATTGTGCTTATGTTTTCACATTCACTGCCAGTTCAAGGTGACCTCTACCCAATGCAGTGCCTTCACTTGCCATTTCTTCAGGACACTTTATTTTTGTCCACACTGGTTTTATTCGGACAAAACACTTTATTGCCATATATAGGAAAATTGGTATAGAAAATATGTGGATCTATATTATCTAGTATGCATTGCATCCCCTTAGATGGGACCCCTTGCATAAAAACACGAGAATACCCTGCTTTATTGAACTAATCCATTTTATGATTTGAACATTAGTAGAGTAACATGGCTGATGCTGAAAAATATGCCTAAAAATCAAGAATTATTAAAATGGTAAATTTTCTTGTACAGAAGAAGAAACTAAGACTTAAAAAGATCAAATAAATTGCCTAATTTGTTATGAAGCGTGTTTTTTCCAAAATAGTAAAGATAATGTTGGCAAATGTGAAAGGCATCATTAACAAAAATATGCCATCATGGTTGTAACTTTATGTACTCCAAGAATACTACCATTCTATTTTATATTTACTGGGAAAATGAGATCTGAATCATATGAGTTTCAAATTATGTCTTAAGCAGCACTTTTAAAAATTAACCCTGGCCTTTCTATGTATTTGTGTAAGATAGTAGTAAAATTATTCATATTCTTATGTAAACTTATTTTCTGTTTTAATTCCCATTAAAAATGGGTTGAGTAATTTATTGCTTTTTCTTTGTTCAAAATAGATTGCGCAAGAATTTGAAATCATTCATCATCGTTCATCCATCCTGGTTTATCAGAACGATCCTTGCTGTGACACGACCTTTTATAAGGTACAGTTGCTGGCGCAGTAAAAATACCAGTAAAAGTAAATGTACCAGTACTTTTTTAAAAAAGTATATAAATCATCCTATAAACAGGAATACATAAACCAAGAGTATCTAGGGAAACTTATATGGCCTCTGTCTTTCCTGAAAAGATACTTTGGACTATGTATCAAGCATTAAAAGTGAGAATTCACAGTAAAAATTATGAGTGTAATTATTTCATAATTATTTCCCCTGATCATTATAAAACATGACCGCCATGTCCCTTCCTGTAGAATATGAAGTGGTTGGATATCCATACCACATTATAAAGGGCACAAACAATACTTTTTAAATAGTATGTTATCTCATAGAGAATAAGCAAGTACAATAGGGCCAGGGAGGTAGCTAAGTGGTGCCACTTAAAGTTCAATCCCCAGTACCAGAAAAAAGAAAGAAAGCGGAATAATAAGAGAATGGGTGATAAAGATTTAGCCAAGGATAGAGACAGGAGCCATATCATGTGTTATTCCATTTCCGCTGAACAAGTATTACGTGGGTCACCAAAATTGGATAAAATCGGGGTAGCCATCTTGAGAGTTGTATTTCAATCAAACATGAAATTTCTTGATTTCAAATCAGTGCCTATTTTTTTAATCACTTTTTTTTTTTGAGCTACATGTTACATAACCTTACATTTGGGGGATGCAAAGAAACATAAGATATGGCTTGTAGTAAGACTTGAAACAGTTACGTGAAAGGTTTAGTATTTATTTTCTAGATAGCATTACAAATAATGCTTTGTCTACCAACAACATAGATTATATATTGAAAGTTTCCTGGTCAAAGTTATCAAAAAATTTCTAAGGAAAGTTCTGACAACTGCTAGAGAGCAAAAATAAATGTTAAAATTCTTTATATTTTGTATAGATTTCACTGTACCTTCCAGCTTCTCCTTTTTAAAATCAGTATCCACTTATTTCCTTTTATTTCTTGTGATACTAGGAATTAAACCCAGGGTTTTCACACTGGGCTAACTCCCAGGCCCTTTAAAACATTTTGAGACAGAGTCCTACTAAGTTGCTTACTTGCCATACTTCTTCAGCCTCTGAGAGAGAAGGGATTGCAGGCATAGGCCCAAACCCCCTGCTTCACTTGTTTTTATTTAGCACTTTTGTCTAACTTCCAGGGACTGCAAAGCAGGATTCAACCTAGTTTGCCTCTAGCAAAACTTAACTGTTTTCCTAACTATGTTAAATTGCTTTTTAAAATGTTATGAACTATGTGTTATACAAATCTACTTAACAATTGCAAGAAACACGGTGACAAGATAGTAGTAATCAGTGTACCATTAGCACTCATGATTTACTGACATTGGTTTAATCATTCAGCTCTTATAATTGTAAAACAATTTTTCTTTTTTTTTCATTGAGTTTATCGGTACTTTTTAAGTATACAGTACAGTTACATTTATTATTGGGATCTTGTACTTTTACATGACAGGTCTTGGTTCTCATTTTTTACCCATACTCCTACCTTTGCCTCCTCCCCGCTACCCTATTTACAAAGACTTTGTTTCCACTTTTTCTTTTTTTCATATTTTTTCTTTTCTCTTATTTCCTTTCCCCTACTCCTTTATCCCTTTTCTTCCTATTTCATGTTGTCAATTATACAATTTGGATCTTATTTACACTTTTAGTTTTAAACACCAGAGAAACTGTTTGGTGTTTACACATGTGTGTCTTATTTATTTCATTTAAGAGTATGGCCTCAATATGCATCCATTTTCCTATGAATGACTCTACTTTCTCATTCATTATGGCTGAGTAATATTCCATTTTATAGAAAAACCACATCCTCTTTATCCAGTCTCCAACTGATGGGGAAACAATTTTTCATGATAACCAAACACTCATTAGTTTAAGAATATTAAAAATCGATTATAATTTAATACTCTTAGGGATTGGGAGTATGTAGCTCAATGGTAGAGTGCTTGTCTAGTATGTGTGAGGGCTTCCATCCCTAGCACTGC